TATCTCTCTCTCCCTCTCCCTTCCTCTCTGAAATCAATAAAAATATATTAAAAATAAATAAATAAAAGTCAAATAGTTCTCCAAAGCATATAACATAAAAAAGCAGTTCCCAACAGTGTTTTCCTATTTCCAATTGTTAGTTCAGAAAGGCAATTATTTTCAACTCTTTTAGAAGCTTCTTCTGAGTACATAATAGGATTATGCCTATTGTTTCTTCATTTTTGTGTGTGTTCTTATTGTGTTGGATATTTTCCATTTGTCCCTTGGAACTACTCTCTACCCTCTTCTGTGTTTTCTGTTCAGAGAAACTCACCTGTATGAACAACATCAATGGGTTTATGAATGGTCCCTTTGGCTTTCAATTGAGTTGTTCTCTAGTTGGGAGAACCTGGAGAGGAGAGGAGACAGAAGAGAGAAGAGAGAGGAGAGAAGAGAAGAGGAGACACAGACAGAAATGGGGGCGGAGAGAGAGAGAGCGGGGGGAGAGAGAGATTGATTAGAATATTTATTCCTGTGGCTTCCTCTTTGATGATCTACTCTAGCTGGCTGTGTCTTCAACTGGAAGTCCCTGATTCCCTCAAGAAGGGCTACTCTATTTGACTCTCATTCTAGATTGTGGTCCCCATGCACTCCACTTTTACCCCTTTGGGCCTAAGGTTGGTGACAGTGCAATTGCTATTAAGTCACGTTACTGTACTATCTCTTGTGGCTTCCCTACTTTCACACCTTTTGCACATTTCAGAGGGAAGTGGAGGGGCGGGGGGGAGCAAGGGGAGAGTAATAGGTGAATTTATATGCATACTAGAGGCCCAATGCATGAAATTCATGCACGGGTAGGGTCCCTAGGCCTGGCCGGCTGTAGGGAGCAGGCACGGCCATGGCATATTCAGCCCCAGGGCGCCTTATGTGCCATGCCAGCTCAGCCTGGTTCAGTGACCCTGAGTGAGGGGGTGAAAGGATTGAGAAAACAAAGACAAGAGAATGAAAGCTGGGTCTTGGTGGAACGCTGCTCCCTGATGAGGAGACAGTGCCGGCGCCCACAAGCTGTGTCTTTATTTTATAGCAGGTGCCACGAGGCAAAGTAGGGGCATGATCAAGTTGTTTACAGCATTCTTGTGAGTTTCAACCTCACTTAACTACATGCACCCGAACTCTATCACAAGGCACGTGGGGCTACGTGTTCGGACCATAGGTTCAAGCTTACAACCACAGCC